CCACTCTCCACCCAACTGCCAATAACTCCGGTGCGTCTTGAAGAGTTCTTCCCTTGGTTCTTTCAAAGAAATTCATTAGTACTTCTGAGAAACTTTCCAGTAACTGCACTTAAATTGAGTGGGAAAGTGGCCTAACTCTGCTATTTCCTACATCATATCACTTATTTACGGTAAATCAACATAGACCAAAATAAGTGGAATTAATTGAAACGACATAGAATTACATCACAACTTTGTTCACAGCTTATAAAGATCGTGTTATGTTTGTTGATGAGTGGGAATGCAATTCCGTCAAAGAGTTTCTCAAGTTAACCAATGCAATATATGGAAAATAGTCTCCAGATTCAAGCACGAAATATTTGCGGGAAGCGACAATAATAAATTTAATAAGAATATAGACTAGAGTAGCAAAAAATATGGTACTCAGAGACACTGCATTTGTAATGTACCAAGAATGTATTACAAATTTGCAAGATTCTGTACTGCCATTGAGTCTCATTAATTCTGTATTGAAAAGTCATTTGCAAGAACAAATTACGCCACTTGAAGCGTTCACTGCACCAAGACAGTCGGAGCCGCTAAGCGGAAGTCAAATAAGACAAATAGACGCGCCGTGACTGGAATCAGAGTCTGAGCGAGATCATCAGCATACCGGAGGAATTGCCCTCATCAAAAGCCCCGTGCAAACACATTCCATTACAATTCAATTTTCCTGCGGAGCCGCCCCGAAGGCACAGATATCCCTCGGTCACGAACTAACGAAGGTCACGAACCCATTACACGCGTCACACCATGTGTTTATGATGTGCGATTGCGATACACCCGCAGGATCCCGCTTAGCATCCCGACGGTGGGGGCGACGCCACCACGTCTGGCAGCCGGCGGCGGGGGGACAGAGATTGAGAGGGTGACAAGACACCATCTCACCAGCAGCCCGGCCTGATTCCGCCTAATTGAGACACTTGCAGCTGATGGCGAGTTGAGCTTTCGTGGGTGGAAAAGCTGTTAATTTAGATCCTTAATGCAGACTTATGCTCGGCAACATATTGTGGCCTGCACTTGCGACACCGTTAGTGTTTATACATTGATTTACGGTGTGAGATGCTGATTTGACAACGTTCCCTCGCACAATACTGCCGGAGTGTGGGCAAAGTTGAGTGCTCGTCATCATTCATTTCCACCAAAGTTATAAAAAAAAGTTTCAAAAGCGAGCAAATAGGGTGACTCTTGAGAGGAAAATGAGGGAAAAATGTTCCTAATAATTTCATAAAACTGTATATTCTCCGTTTGCACGTGATTTCGAGACCTTTCTACCCACGAACTCAAGCGCGTCCAAGTTTATTTTAATCACCATTTGAGATAAGTTTTAATTACTTTAAATAAGCTCCCTTCTAATTAGTTGCTCTCGTAGTTAATTGAATATAGTGAGATATCTGTAGTCTTGAGGGTGAAAACTTTGACATCTTATGAAGCAGGAAGGAAAACGCTTTCAGGTGCCAAGAAGTTTATCTTAATCCAATTTCATTTAGTGCGAGCTTGAGTAAATACAAGGGTTTGAGACTTGACACTGAGTTAATTTTTTATGGTTTTCCTTCCTTCATTCTGAATTTAATAACACACCCTTTGATTCCCATTCGAGATTCAAGTGAATATTCGCACAAAAGGAGCGGAAATTATATACTTATCATGTGTTGCTTAAGCTTCAGCGATGAAAGATCTGAAATGGGGGTTGGATGTGGGGAAATTTGTGTGGCATTGCGGCTGAATTCCCGGTATTCTATCAATGTTTGTTTGAGATGCCAAACAAGTTGTTTTACCATCATCAAGGGAATGTCTTCATTTATCATCCCCCCTCATTTCGCCCTGGAGATCGTTACACAAATTTGACGGACATCGTCATCATCATGCCTGGCGGTTGCGGGTGGAGAAGGTGTGTCACCGAAACTGTGTACCAAAGCACACGACATAGTTTCACCGGCTTTGAATTCCAATTCAAATGGAAGATAAATGACCCATATACCACCACAAAAACAAAGCCCATTGTGGCTTAGGGTGTGGGCATGAGACTCACCACCCGGAATTCCTCCCACGATGAAGGACAGGCTCACAGTAAAGTTGCCCACAAACCACCTTCTTTCGTACACAAGCAAGACGGGCAAGATGTACATATAAGTATATGCATGTCCGGAGAAGCTGTTTGAAGGCCAAACTCTGTCCTTTCGCCCACGAATAACAGTTAAATAATTAATACGCTCCAAGACTCCAAGTGCCATCATCCCCAAGGAATTTTCCACCCTATCTCCCGACGGAACAAACTTTGGGAATTCAATTAATTTCGATATAGTTGTAGTTGGCAAAGTTGCGCGCGACACAGCATTCCTGTGTTGCTTCTTTTCACCTGCGGGAATTCATATGAGCAATTTGGATGAATTTGAAGCTTCTAATGCTCTAATGCATCTCAAAAGCCCCCGGCATTAGTTTTTGCATTCAGTTATAAAACAATTCAATAACCTAATTCTTTAATTTCATACGCAAATTTCCTCGCTAGGAAATACTTCATTCTCCCCTCTTTTATAAATCATTTATGAAATAAATCTATTTAGGTTAATACTCCTTATCCTATCGTTATCATTTGAAGATAAGTAATGATAAATAAATTTCTGTCTGGATAAACATTAATCAATTTTCTTTCCCAAAAATACCCTGTTAATCTATACACGTACTTACATGATTCTTTAAAAAGCACACAGTCTCTTCAGATCCATCAAGCGACTTTCAGGACATACAGTTTTGTTGATGTTGACTTGAATAAAGTAGAAAGTAAAGGAGCCCAGCAAGGCTGCTGAATTGACATGTTCCTCAAAGAAGCTGAATTGGTGAGAGGTGGGAAATCTCTTTGAAGGAACTCACACAGACCTCTAATCTTTTCTCCCTGATGATGTGTGCCTACAGTGAAATAGCTTTCTCCCATCCATATATCAGGAGAAGGGAGGGATTATCCAAATCAATGGTGAAAGTTCTTAAAGTTTTTTAAAGTTTCATTACTATAAACTACCAAAGAACCATTGACAGTGATTTTTTTCTATCCCTGACGCTTCTTCCTGAATTACCTGGGAAGAAATGAGAACTTCAAAAGTCCTGGACTTGACAAAGTATATCCAAATGGTCCACTTTAATTAGTAAGCAGGGCCACACTGAATATTTATGAGGCGAAATTGACTTTAAAATGACTTTTGGAGTCTAATTATGTGGAGTCGCTCGACTGGGGGAAGACTCTCTAGGTTGACCATTTTTCTGCACCCTCGCTCATGATTTTTGAGGAAAAACATATCTGCCAAGTAGACAAACTTTCCACCCTCTTGTTCCACTATGAGGCGGCGTGTCTCATGAAAAAGCGCCTGTGAAAGGGTGAAATTGTGTGTTTTGCTCGAAAGTGTGTCATACACTCTGAAATTGCTCCTGGAAATGCTAATCAGACGCCTCTTTCTCACCCCAGATAAACACTCAAAACTTCTTTATCTCGTCACCCGAGGGGTGACGAACGGGGAGTTCATGAATGTTTAGAACACTGTCTTAAATATTTCCCAGCATAGAGATTGAATTGCATCGGCTCTAGGCTAGAGTAGTGGCTAGAGTAGAATCATTAGTGTGAACAAAATTCAAATTTTACAGCAATCCATCAAAATTTTGCGGAATAGAAAATGATAATACTTGCTCATCAAATTTCCCCCCTTGATTATACCTTTTCGTTTCCCAGGACGAAAGTGAATGGGAGCGTATTAAAATTTCATTCATTGCAATCGCCCACATTATTTGCTTAAATAATTAATTGAATGAGCATGAATTCTGCATTTAGGGCATTATTCCACCCCACTCGGCTCTTTTTAATCAATCCCTGTATAGATTACTGCTTCGCCATGGGAATTGCAATTAACATACGGATGAATGATTAATCACTGTATTGATAAATATTCCATGTGGAAAATTATTTGAATTTTATGGAATGAAAACCAATTTTACGTGAAATTCTTACAATACTTTGTACACGAAGAATGTTGCAAATATTGACAAATACCCACTGAATTGCAATTGACACAATTGGCGTTAAGCATCACTATTTTGCACTCCAATAATTGGCAATATTTGCTCATATGCACAGCGGTGTTCCGGGGCTGAAAAAAAATGTATTGCCATAAAGTACATCCTGAGTATCCTCGTCAATTGCTATCAAATAAATTGTGCATTCGAAATTACAGGGCCGCATGACACGCATTTTATCAAGGCATTTTATACTAAAAATGCGTGAAACTTTGATATTTCGTAACATATCAGAATTTCATGCAAATATTTTTAAGTGTTTAGAGTCTGACTTAACATATCTTCGCATCATAGATCAAAGATTACATAGAATTGTATAAATTTTCCCACTGGCAGTCCGGGCGCGGTGCGCCTTGTGAAATGTAAATTATTGGTGCAATTTGCACAAATTTCATCCGCTCAAATATAAAATGACTCGCCACTGTAAATGTCATTCTTGGCAGCCAAATTGATTTTATTGCCATTAACTGGAATGTAAATAATTTAAATTAATTTTATTTGCGCTCATTACCCACGGCGCGGATTCACTTTCATAATATTATCTGTTTTTTTTTTCTATGCAGAATGCGTTGCGGACTGTGGAATATTGTACAGGGGTTCGAATTTATGGGCCTTTGGTATGGAATTTTTAGTAAGCAATAAACTGACCTGTTGGGAAGGGTTAAAAGTTTAATTTCCACCCGGGGAAGGTGAAATTGTAATAAAATCGATACAAATGCAAATTTAATCCAATTTTGTCAGTGTTTAAACATTTATGCATCGCAGCGTGTAGTGGCAACTAAGGGTTGCAAATTAAGGGGTGTCATTCAAAATTAATGACTGTGTGTGATACTTTGCACAGTTCTTAAAGGAATACCTAATTGTCCAAAATGCTTTGTAGTTTCAAAAGCTTACGTCATATGTCTGTGATTTATCGTTTATTTTGTAAATAAAGTATCCAATTAAATTATACAGTCGCAAAGTGAATGTCGTGTATGAGATTGAATTATGGAAATTCTATGCCTAACATTTAGACTACGTTTCATTATTATTACCTCCCTGCATCTCACGACTCAGTGTCACCTGCTAAGCTTTGTCGCTCTTCGCGTCCGGCGATTGTGGTCTGTCTTCACTTGCAGCCTCAGCTGCGGGTGGCAGAGAGGATTTGGCCGGTTTTGCAGGCTCTTCAGGTGTGCTGCTGTGCTCTTCCTGTGGCTGGTCTTCCATCATTTGCTGTGCAACAAAAAAGACAGAACTTAGAGAATTTCCTCTTCCATCAGATGCTCAACTCACGGCATCCAGTCCAGATTTAATCTTCCGGGCACTGATTCCGTATTCATGAAAAGCATCTGCCAAGTTGGGATTAATCTCGTCAAGTGGCGTTTCACCGTAGCGAATGTACACCGGAACATAGCCTGAGTGTGGAAAAAAACGAGCATACGCTTTTAACAAATCATGCCACCAATTGTCATTCCTCAATTAAGCTTAGATTATGCCATCAATTGATGTAACTGCGCTTCAATTTCAAAGTACCTTCTCGCGGTGGCAGAACCTGATAAACTAGTGCGGCGTCTGCAAAGCAAAAGGTAAGATTTAAGTGATGGCGGAAAACAATTATTCTCCACTGTTAGCTTATCGGCGAATCCCTCTTCTCGTCTCCCACACGCTCACCTCATTGACAATCACAGAGAGGATCATTAAATAATTGAGGGGGTACAATAGAAAAATTGGAAAAAAAACACCCATGACCTCATCGCGCATTATTTCATCGAAGCAACCAACGTTACTGAAATACCAAAGTGATGATTTCCAGCTCCTCAAGGTGCTTCCTTCGAATATTCTCGGTAACTTCTCTCAACCAGGTAGTAAAAGGCTACTCACATTGGAATATGTGTGTAAATCAGGTGAATTATTAGGACAGTGAGTGTCGAGAAGTGCCGTACAGAGCGTTTTCTAACAACTTCTCTTACTCATTGAAATGTTCTAATGAAACATTGGACATCTCTAAAAAGCCCCGCCCATTTAGATGCTCCGCCCACTCAAAATTTCTCTCCCTCTCCTAACAAAAACGACACATTCTCTGCGAGTAGCCCCTTTGATTCTTATGTTGTAGTCCTTCTTATTCGCATGCGAATCTTTTTTCTTGCATTTCTGCGATTCCACTTTGCTCATCGCTTGAAAATGTGGTGTATGCAAAAAGACAAGCTTTGGCATAGCGATTTATTTGCTTCACCGGATTTATCTCTGGTTATTGGAGAGTTTAACAAACTATTGACTAAAACACCATTAATTTCCCAGAGTGACTCTCATGTATGCAGTCAGTGTATAAGGAATTTGCAAGAAATTGCGAATTACCAAGATCTACACGATCAGCTTCTGCAGAATAATCGTGACTTTTGATCCGTGATTGCCATTAGTTTGTAAATAATTTTAATGATTTATTGATTTCTACGTAACCGTGATCAAATGAGGTGCCTCTCAGCAGTGTTACTTTTTTGCACTCCGTGCAAAATATGAGATCACTCGCTTTCATTAGCCATGTTAATTCCACACACAAGAGGAAGTCTTCAGAGTGAGGATTATTTGAAAATTAACAATTCCATCTAATCTCAGACGAGAGCGTAAAATCGTCTCTGAGTGTTCTTACTGTAAATTTGCAAAAAAGGTTTGTGATCAAATCTGCTCAATAAATGGAAATTTGACAGGAAATTAGCAAAACAAAGATTATTTGCATTTAAATAAATTATCTAACTTAAATGACTGTAAATGCTTTTCCAATCTTCATGAAAGTTTTATCGAAGATGCTCAGCCATAATTATTGTGCATAAGAATTCGATTAAAAATCGAAGGAATCGATTGCTAAATTGCCATTGAGTCTGCGAGTGTTAGTCTGAGATGGCCCATAAATTTGGATTCTTCATATTCCACATTCAGTCGATCGCTGAAAGAATGAGGCTTTTTGCTGATACAAAAAAAGAAGACACAAATTCTTTTCATATGAGATGGTGTGCTGTGTTAAAAAAGAAGATTTAGCACCTCATCTGAGCAATCACTCGCGTTGTAATTGATTTGCTCAGTTCACCTTCGCCATGAACTCTTCTTTTTGGCCACGCACTCTTCAGTTGTAGATCTCAATTTGAGGCTCAATGCACAAATCAGTCGGCCAGCAAAAACTTCACTTTGCCGTTAAACTATTATGGAGTGATATTTGAGTGAGAAAGAGATTTTGAGAGACGCCCATCAAATAAGCGCACAAGGAAAGCCACGAACTTACCGCTACTTTGCACCAGTAACACAGTTAGGGCCACTGCATAGCCCAAGACCACTGAAGCTCTCATCTTTTCGTGGCTCTTTCACCTTTCTTCTCCACGTGTTTATCACAGACTGCCGATGATTGATCTCGCGTTGGGCACTATTGTTGCGCGACTACGCGAGCTTCTCTCGAAGCCAGTCGGTCGGACACTCAAGATGCCCAGCGACTTGGAGGCTTCTTTATAGACTCGCGCATCATCCCGAGAACGGAGAAAAACGCGCCAGCATATACAGAGAATCTCAGGCTGATCACTAGTGATTGCAGGGTACGAATATGATGAGCAAAAGTAATCTTGTACACACAAATAGCCGATCGTCTCTGTAATGATTCTGTTGCCCGCGAAAAAAGACTATCCGTATTCGTTGAATTCCCAACGGACACACAGGCAAATTGCCCATTTCTGAGTGGTATTTGTGGCGGATGAACATGCAAATACCACTGAATAGGATGGAGATGGAAAAGCTAAGGGTTTCTTGGCAACCTGTTCGTGCCAATTTGGTGTTTTACCAAAATACGGACAAGATGAAGAATGATTACAATACGTGATTAATCGCGCCAGTGATTGGTGGACATTTAAAAATAGAAATGAGTATTTTCTCATGATAAACTATTCCATAAAAACCTATCCGTCTTAAACAAATAAGTTACAATATTGAAAATATATGCATTCTTCTTGCTGCATTAAGCAAAAAACAATCAGGATTTTCTTAATGCCTTTAATGCACTCCAGCGCAATTGCAAGTGAATAAGTGAATGTCACTAAGTATTCGCACCGTGTCTGGCAACTCACGAGGAGGTCCACAGAAGTGTGGTTGGATGATGATGAAGATGGTGTTGAGATTATTGTGTTCATCGACCGCGAGTGCAATTCCGAGGTGGATGGAATTGCACGGTGATCAATAAATGATGTAAATAATGTCGCTTTTAAGACATGAATAGAGCGAGAGAGAGTGAATGAGGTTTTCGCAGTATGCTCGACTGTGAAGGGGCAATTTTGTGAAACCACGCCCACTCCAGTGCCCCGCCCACATAATTTTCATTACACACTACTATTTTATATTGATAATAAAAACGCAACAATAAAATATTCATTAAAGAGTTCAATTAAGAATCAATTTGCAGTCTGGTTACACCGTAAATTGATCTTTCTCATGCTACTGCAGTGAATTATAATATAGCTTCTTTTTCACCTCTTCACGATGACGCGTTGCGACTGGACAGAGGCAATCTGGTAGACGTGCTCAAGACATGATTACTTCTGTGACTTAATGGTACATCTTTTTCATCTTTACTAGCAACCTCTGAACCGGTTCTTGCACTCTGTTCGCGCCACATCTTCTCCCAAGATCGCCTGGCCCTATCGCGCAATAAAAGACACATTATCCCCCATTTGCGGACTTATTTCAGTCATTGCGAATCTGTGTATCACTTCCGGTCATTTGCTGCAATAAAAAGTCTTTCGATTATTCATCTTTTGATGTACATCAAGGGCAGAACAACTAATCATGTCGAGAAATTCAATTCAATCTCTTTTCCTATTGTGCAAACCACCTTGTCTGCAAGGCGCATCAGCAAAGGTGAATAAGATTAATTCGAGTGCGAATTGCCGCTCTAATGAGGCTCTGTCGGTGAGGTGCGAACCCTACTCCGCCGCCAGTCGACGTGCGCCCGCCGGCGGACCGCGTCACGGTGACTTGGCGTGCAGTTGGCACACGAGATGGAGCCCGGAACGCTGCAGTGGCCAGTGGAAGAGATCCAACTGACCTCGCGTGACCTCTTCGCACCCAGAGCGAGTATACACACGCGTTACGCTCTGAAAAAACGCCGTTCTTCTTGTCTCAATAAAGGCCACCTCACTCATCGGCGCACTTTAATCTGGCTCTCGCTCGCCTCTTTCGCGTGTGGACACAAATAAATCCACCGACGAGAACTCGCCGTGTCAGCAACTCTGCGGCCCTCCACACAATTTCTGTTTTGTAAATAATATTCATATAATTTATATTTTCTGCTTTTTATCATAATCATTTTATAATATAAAAATAGCATTGTGTTTTTTTTTATTGTTTCCGTTAGGAGAAAAGAAAAGAAACAAAACAATATATTACTTTTCTCAATCAAAGGGACTTAATAAAACGCAAGAAAATTCATACAATCAGAACTTTCTCTCCAACAATAGTGTTAACAAAATTGCTAATTTTTATCTCCAATTTAGTTGTTAAATTTATCATAAAGGGTTAAAAGCGAAGGGAACCTTCGCTGTTGGCCCTGACACTTTGTTTTTCCCAATGATTTAAGTGCTTTTCCAACTGATCTGTATAACTTAATAAAAAAAAAACATTCTTACTGCAGGCAGGAGTCGAACGGTCACATTCTATGCGTCAGAGCCAATTTCACGTCATTTTCCTGTCTCAAGACTACAAAATTTGTTCTAACCTTAGAAAGGATAAAATTTCATCATCTAATACTCACTTTTAATACTATTTCATAATTGTTTTCTACTCTTTTGATTAATTCTCATTTATCTCTTTTCGAAAAAGAAATTACGTAAAAACATTGAAAATTTTGCATCGCGAAAGGCACAATTTAGAGACACCTCGTTTACATACATTATCCATCGTCTTACACAATATATAAAATCTTTCAACTCATCAAAAGGAAAAGAAAATTGCTTTCAAAATGAATTAAGTTAATTTTGATTAAAAGTTAACATAGTTATTATGAACTTTTTACGAATAATATTCTCTCATTCTCATAAAATAGCATTAGAATATATAATAATATACTTATTATAATATTATGTTTCTTGTTGTATAAAATAAGACAATTTAACAATCATGTTGTTTCGGATTTAATCTGCATTTGGCCACAACGGTGAGGAGGGAGAAAAAAAAGAGAAAAAGAAATTAATATAAAACACAAATCAGCGATAAATCAGAGGCAGTAAAAATGATACGAACCCCACTGGCTACCCCCAATTTTAAAATGTAGGGGATAACATTGTCAATTTGCACTTGCCCAATTAGATTGGCGAAAAACAGGTCCTCCATTGTGTTCGCATTGAACGTCCTTAAAGCGGGTAGTTTGAGCAACAATTTGGCGAAACGATCCGACTGAGACGGATGGTGACTTTGGTCGATGTGGGCTCGCAGGCAGCGACATGCGATCTCCTGAATTCCCTCCAGAGACGTTGATTGACGCATCGGCTCCCGGCGAATGTTGTCTGCAAGGGAGTTGAGAGTGAGACACTCATGCCAAAAGGACACTGGCTTCAGAGATTCACCTGTACTGAAGAGCAAGAGGAGGCGCAGCACTGCAAACTCATAGTCATCCACGCCGATTCGCTGAATGTTTTGTACAAAATCACACAGTCTTGAAATGTTGTCGGCCATCAGCTTGATGCGCGCCGCCGAGAGCTTCTCCTGCACCATCGCCGCCTTGAAGCAATTGACCAGGGATGTGACTATGGTGGGAAAGGCGAGCTGCGGCGCCGACTGGGCCAGCCCGAGGACGAACAGCTCGGTCCAGCACGCGCGCAGGATCTGCACCTGGCAGTCGTCAGGCAGCGCGCGGAAGACGGGCACCTTGCTCACCCATATCACTGACGAGAACAGCAGCCGCGATCCCGTCTCGCAGGTATAGTGTAAGTTTAAGTACGCCGGCACCACGTTGGGTATCTGCAGGGAGAAGGGCACGCACGGCTCCGGGATGAGGGGGTCCAGGTCGCTGGGATCGATGCTGATGACCGCGGCGGCCGTGGGCGAGCTGCTGTCGTCGCCGCTGGGGCTGCTGTTGTCCGCAGACGCGGGCGTGCCCGCTGACGGTTCGTGCTTCGTGAAGTCTCTCGCCCCATTTGCATTCATTTCGAACGGCAGGTTCGTGATGAGCTCCAGCGACTCGGCAATTGTATGTTTGTTAATAGCGGCCTGGAGAAAATCAGCGGAACTGGTGGCAGTTAGACTCGACAGTGTGTTTATTGCCGTTGTGAAGATACTATTTGGTGGATTGTTATCATTGGACGCCTCGTCATCTTGCTGCAATCCACTCGTGGATGGCGACGATATGGGATGGCCCTGGAAGACACCGCTCTGCTGCAAAACTGCACAGAGCACACAAACCATCAGTTTTTCGCCACACTTTCATTCCCAATAGTCCATCCACGCCTTTTGCACCCTCTGCGCGCATACATTAGCGATTATGCCGAGTGCAACCGTTACGAATACCTTCAGAGCGCAATCATCTAATCACTTTTCATATTTTCAGTGCCTCTCCATCTCCAGCGCAACTTTTATTTGTTCTAAATTAACTTCTAACCCCGGCTCGCTCACCTGGATAATTTATTCCTGTGTACATCGCGCGCAACCTTATCTAATACACCTCGCATATTCTGCTCTCCGTAACTCAGAAAGATTCAGCCATAACTCTCCGCCACCGTCTAGCTCTTTATCATTGCACACCGTGCGCTATTATCGCCCTAGAATCAACTCAGATCGCGAACTATCACTGCGGCATATCAATGGATTGTCATCCAAGGAAATTGTATTCTCGAAACTCAACCAAAAGCGCATAAAGCATTCTTCTAAAATGCTCCGGTTCTAAGTATACGTTATCTTAGCACAAGCACTTCTGTTTCCGATAAGACTATCAACACTAGATTCACCAGTAGTAGGCATTCTGCTGTGCAACATTCATGTCTAATAATTTCCACAATTATCAACTTATCATTAACAGTGATTCAACTGCAATTTCTTGCTTTCAGTCTGGTTATGACGAATTTAATGAATCTAAGGTTAATCTAGTGTTAACAATTACTCTGGCGCATAAAGCAATATTATAAATGTCACTCGGATAAATCACTTGTGCATCATTTTCCCTCCCAATTGTCCTAATTGCAAAATCATTTCCCTATTCGCATCTCAAATGAATCCAACTCGTTTCCAATCGGAAGGGCGAAGCTGTCCAGCAAGAAGTGCTTAGAATCGCTGCACGATATTCTCAATAAAATCGCCCAATCAAGGTATAGCGGCGAGTGTGCTCGGCGCGTAAGCGTGAAGAGAAAATGAGTTCGAGCGACTTACATGCTCTCTGTCCAAGAGTTGCCTTGAGGTCATTGAAGTTGAATCCAACGGGGAACATCATGCTGGCGAAATTGGGCTCGCTGTAGTCATTGGGTGGCCTGAAGAAGAGATAATTGGGGCTGGACGACGACGGGCGCGCGCTTCCGCTCATCGTGGGCTGGTTGTTGGAGCCCACGTCGCCAGGACTGATGGAGGGGCCCATTGCGCCGCCGCCCACGCTGTTGCCCGCGACCGAGGCCTCCTTCTTGTCCAGGATGGGCTTCCGCTCGTGCTGCACGGCTGCGGGGAGAGAGACAGTGTCACTGGGGCCCGGATGGCTGGGTCGGGAGTACTCACAGTCGCTCCGCATGCCGCAGGCCAGGCACTTCTGCAGGCGGCAGTACTGGCAGCGGTTCCGGTGGTGCTTCGTCACCTCGCAGTTCATCGTGCCACGACACTGATAGCCGAGCTGCTTCCGGATGGAGCGCTTGAAGAAGCCCTTGCAGCCCTCGCAGCTGATGGCGCCGTAGTGGCGCCCCGACGCCCTGTCGCCGCACACGAGGCAGAGCTCCACGTTGAGCAGCAGCGGCTTCTCCTCGTACTTCATGGGGCTGTCCTCCTCAAAGGCATTCCCGCTGCCATTTCCGCCCGCCCTCAGCGGCACGATCTTCAGCGGGCTGAGCTGCGGGTTCTCCTGCTTTATCGACGTCTGCATCCTCCCGTCCTGTTAGCGCGATGCCCACGGCGGCTAAAGAGTCCCAACATATATGATGCACCAGCAGAACGAGTCAGAAAATTCTTGCAAATGGAACATGAAGAGTGAGTGGAAGGTAGGAAGAGAAAAAAGAACCGAAAGAGAGAGAGAGATGAGAACTAAATCAGGCCACAATCATAACACATTCCCTCCTCCGAGCTCACGAACGTGCACACGTGTCGAAGGCGAGGGGGCACTCACGAGGGCGTTAAGTATTCGGCACGACGGAGGGCTCTTTGGGGGCAAATTAAGTAATTGTCTGCACGGGGTGAGAAAAAAGCAACAATCCAGAGAGTCCACTTCACCACTGACATTCCGCCATATCCACCACTCTCGGACACATCTACTCACCACACCCGCGACGCAATTGCGTCACGAGCATCGCGGAAAAATAGCGTCCCACGACAGATCCGCGGACCTTGACTTTCCAATCCACCGCGGAGAGTTGAGAATAGTCGAAGCAGAACAGCAAATTTACTGAGCTTCTGAGAGTATTTATTGAGAGAAAATGAATGGAAAAGTACCAATGGGAATATGCTAAGAAGCTTATATGCTTGAGACATCTTCTCAAATAGTCTCACCAGCGATGAAAAATACAGAAGCTGAAGTGTCCTGCGACACTTTTGGATTTGTCTATGGAGCAGATTGATTTGCGCACTTTATGGGGTGTTCGAGGGTTGCCGTATTAATCGAGTAATTTCCTTTGTGTTTGCGAGATCTCCGTCATTTTCCATTTTGGAATTGAGAAATTGTATGTGAAAAACAGCCGAAGAAGCGTCTCTTTCCGCTCAAACTTGCGCCATTCCACCCAGTGACCAGTGTGCAGTGCTTGAGTATTTGGATTTGCTAGAGATTCGACGAGGAAAATGATGTCTTACGAGAAGCTATCAGATTCTGAACATTTATAGCTCACACACACACAGTGCTGTGTTTTCCTTGCCCTCCATTGCGCTTATTTACCGTTTGCGGTGCAATTTCACTCCCGAAAGAAACTGTGAGCTCCAATTGGGACTGCTTTCCCTGTGCGGCGATTCGATTGGAGGTTTTCGCGTGAAGTTGGAGAGCAGAGTTTGAAGGTCACGGTGCGCGACAAGGACTTTTCAGGCAGTGGCCCCCAGTGCGCGACAGAGAGAGAACATCCACTTGTGCGCGCGAGTGAGTGAGAGAGAGAAGAGTCAGTTGTGCGGTGGACTCTTAGTGCTGTAATGAGCCCGAAATTGACAAAATTGCGAGAAAACAAGCGCCAGAACGACAATTTCATCCACATAGCATCGATCAGGAAGAGACTTTGCATACATCCCGCCACGATGTTTAGAAATTTGCCCAGTGCCGCAGGAAATCAGCTGACGGGCTTTCCGCAACCCTCGAGTGCGAGATTCCCGGCCAGGAACTAAACTCCCTAAACGGCAATATATCACGACCCCAACTGGGCGTATATATTAAGGTTTAGCGGTTTAATTTGTCTGCATTCAAGCGATTGCATCGTCAAGAGTGCGAAATAGGTTTCTATTGTTCAAACAACCAATTCACAATTGTCTCACATACAAAAACACAGTCAGCAAGAAATTCCCCAGGCGCGCGACGGACGACCGGCGAGATGAAGTTGCTGGAGAGTTCGCGCTTCGAGGCGATCAATAATGCGCTGTCCATCAAGAAGGGCGACAGCACGATCGTGGGCAGGATTGAGAGCTACTCCTGCAAGATGGTGAGCGCCGACAAGGCGCTGTACAAGCGCTTCACGTCCGAGCAGGCCGACCTGCAGGCCCTGTCGCCTCCGCAGACGCTCATGGACCTCTCGCCGGCCTTCAGCCGCGGCGGCGGCAGCATGAGCGGCGACGAGGGCGTGATCCTGTGCGACACCATCTCGCGGAAGACGCTCTTCTATCTCATCGCGACACTGAATGCCGCCTTCGAGCCCGACTATGACTTCTCGGACGCCAAGGTGAGTCGCCCTTCGGTCAGGGGGCACAGAAGTTGCCCTCTTGCCGCACGAACGGCTGACGAATGGCTATTTTTAGCCAACAAACTGATGATGCTTGTGAAAAACAAGGAATATTTTGAGTGCTAAGTTTGCTGTTATTTCTGTGGCTGTGTGCGTGGGTGTGTTTTGAATTTGCCCGTGAAGAAGAGAGCGGAGATTACGGGTTTTTACACTTAGGCGAAAGAAAAACACACAGCTCTGAAGTCTTGCGCTTTATTTTACGGTGATGTAAATCGTAAGCTGAATTTCTGAGTGCCTTATCTCAGAGGTAATCACACTTGAATCTGATTGGTTATCTATACTTAGGCTTGAGATTGCTTGAGGAAAATTCAGTCTATTTTGAAATACCGTTTCTTAGCCATCCACATTGAATTTTCTTAAGACCAATTCTGCTGAATTGCTTGAAATGAAATCAAAATTCAAAACCAAATCCACAAAACTTTTGCTATTTATTCCTCGTCATAGTTTTAACACGAAATTGGCGTAAAAAGTGCTTGGCGTTCGTGAAGTCGATAAAATTCCGATCAATTTTTAATGGTTTTTTGAGCAGCGGCAAACAATAAAAGCCTTATTGTGCTGAAATAGGAATGCGATTTTCAACACTCGCACAACAATCACAGTTTTCTTAGTTAAGCGTTGCCTAATACAGACTGAAACATTACTTTTCTATGAAAATCTTGAAGATTCAGGAGGAAGTTTACTTCTGTATTCTTAATTTGCTACAGTATTTAAAATTCTGTCTATTAAAGTTAAAATCACATTAAACACCTTGTTGTGTAGTTTGTGAGCCGAAAACTACACTTTCTCAAGTAAATTCTTCACGAAGTCCCAGGTTTCTAAACAAGTTTCTAAATGTCACAAGAACCGCTAGATTTATTGTACAATTATGCATCGATTTATGCGGCTTGGCAGTCATTGGTGTAACGCAGTGTTTTCCTCTGTCCCCGCAGAGTCACGAGTTCAGCAAGGAGCCTTCCTTGCAGTGGGTGATGAACTCCGTGGAGGCCAACCTGTCGGCTGTGGCTGGTGAGCAGTATCACGGTCTGCGGGCGGCTCTCTGGTCCGCCGTGGACGACGAGATCAGCCTGATGGATTGCGACATCTACAGCTACAATCCGGACTTGAACTCTGACCCGTATGGTGAGCCTGGATGTCTCTGGTCTTTCAACTACTTCTTCTACAACAAGAAGCTGAAGCGCATCGTCTTCTTCACTTGTCGCGCAATGAAGTGAGTGGAAAATTGGATAGTTTGCCGTGCGAGAAAGTGCTCTCAATACACTTTTTAACGCGCTCTTTCTTGCAGTCAATTCTGCGTGCGGGAGTCTGGAACGTCGAGTGACTTCGCAATGGAGGAGGGCGACGATGACTACTACTAAATATCGTGTGTGGCATCGGAGCCGAATTTCTAATTTTCTTTCTTTTTGCAATCTTTCAACGTAACAAGTTAACGATTTCTCAGTAACCACACAAACACACCCCCCAATTTCTTGCTAGTTCTTAAGAGAGAGACGCTGAAGACGTCGCAGATGAAGTATGTGAATTGTTTGAACAATATTGATCTTTTCTCTCCGGCTCATTTTGTGACGGAAAAGCGGGTGAGAGACGCGATGTGAGAGTTTCCGTCCCGAGATGTGCGCGATGCTGGCGTCAAAACTGCTGAAGATTTTTGCTTACTTTAGACTATATAATGAGTGATAAGGTGGATTAAGATACACACAGAGGACACAGACAGAGAGCGAGGAATTATTATGTAAAATGTACAAAACGTAAAATTTATGTACAAATCAGCAGTTTTGAGCCCCTGTTTTTGTAAAGATGCGATCACAATTTCCAGACAAATTGGGTGAATTTGCTTGCATTCTGTACAGAAACAGTCCTTTAGGTACGCTCAAGTGAATGGGGCGAAGTCAGTTCAGCAATGAATGATTCGCACGTGAGAACCATCCAATTGACTGTACATTTGTCTTAGTATGTAAGGTGACTTTTTAGAAATAGGACACTAGATAGAGAGACAGAGTGTAGAATGTTATGTTTAAGCATCATTACTAACTGCAAAAAACTGAAAACTTGATTTAATTTGTGGATGAATTCTCTTGCGAATGGTGAGGAAAAATATCAAATACAATCTATCTTCTCTACTAGGTATGTAGTTTATAAGGATTGACATAGCCAGTAAGATTGTGAATCTGTTCGTTTTAAGGCACAATCGTAAAAGCTTTGATATTCTTGTCTTAATATTGGTGAAGTGTGAAGTGAAACTCAAGAAGAGTACAATTTTTTGTGACTATTGCACTCTCAAAGAGGTAAAAAAAGAAATTGTCGCTAAAGATCTAGACGAAGAGGCAATATATTGCAGGTGAAAGCAAAACAGAGAGTAGACTGGCAAAGGCAAAAAAGAGCCCAAAAATCATGAATTTTTTTCTTTAGATGTGAATTGTAGAGATAGAAAGTCTATGTGTTGAATTAAGAGGAATTTATTGATAACCGTAGAATTAATACTTTCATTTATCTATCTCCTGTGGGTCTTTGAATGTCCACACCGTAATCTTATGCGCTGAATAACACAACTCTTCTCAATAAAAGTGAATATTCACAAATTCGGACTACTTGCATCTCTTTAGGAGGACTTAAAGCGCGTCTATCTATACATCATCATGTCGGTGCTCTGGTACATGCACATGTAAGCGTCGCAGAGGAGGCGCTTCGCGTGGTCAGGCAGCATCTTGTCGTGTGACGCCGCCTCGTGCAGCGTCCGGGCGCTGTCTTCGCTCAGCCACTGCGGCAGATCCGGCACGGACACCATCTCGGGGATGTTGTAGCCGTTCACCTCGCCCTTGCGGTCCGCCATGGAGTCGAAGAAGCACCACGGCGCGTCCTGGCCAGAGCCCGCCTTCACGAAGGCCACGTAGTGAGATGTCTCGATGCACACGACGGCGAAGAGCTCCATGAAGAGGCGCGGCACGGGACAGTGCTCGGCCATGATCTTGAAGTCGTGCGGCACCGAGATCTCCTTGGGCGCGTGGTTCAGTCGCTTGGAGTGCGAGTGCGCCGTCTCCAGGCACTTGCGGCAGAACGCAGTGCTCTCCAGGCCGACGCCGCATTGAAGCGTCCCGAAGCACTCGCGACACTCAAACTCCGCCAATTTGCCGCAAACCGTGCACTGACGCGGAGCTGTAAAAGAGAGAATCCTTGTTAAATTACAATACAGATGCAGTGAAATTATCCTTGTGCTTCAGAATGATTTTGCATCAAACCAGCAATGAAAATTCAGGTCTGATTCAGTAACACAAATTCCCTTATCTCAATTTGCACTCACTTCCGCCAACACACTTGGCGAGTCAAGTGAAAATTGGGGTAAATGAGCAGCGATAAACATACAATCTGCATATATACTCACAGTCTTCAATGATGTCAGTGACATCGAGCACTTGCGAGGGCAGAATTCTCGGATACATCTTGAAATTCTTGCCAAAGCGCGGCATTTGGATGATGAGACACGACGGCACCTCCTTCAGCTTGATGTCCGACGCCAGGAAACTCTGCTCGAACAGTTGCTGCACCGACGGGAAACTCAGTCGCTCGTCCTTCTCCACGAACAGCTGATAGTAGAAGGCATCCTGACCAGAGCTGAGCTTGAGCAGCGGTTCAGCGCGCAGTATTTGCGCCAAGAGACTGTTGAGGAACTCCTCAGGATCCTTCTCCTCCGACATGAGACCCGTGACTGAGCTCAGCTTGTCCAGCAACTGACGCAGTTTCATCACACGATCCGCACGCACGAACAAATTCTTCCTCAGGGGATTGACAATCTCCTCGCGCAGCACTTTCTGCACTTCCGTGTAGTGGGGAATGTCTCCTGATTCAGGCGGCCGGAACAGGAGCGAATCGAAGACACTGGAGAAGGTGAACATGGCAAAGAGCGTGGCGTCGAGGTAGCATGAATTGTGATGACCCTGTATTCCCTTGAATTTGCCACACATCGTCTCCAGATCGTCCGGTTTGGCGACTTCTGCAAGAACGAAGGACAATCATACACAAACTCCAGATAAGAATGGCCAGAGGACTCACTCAGCGGAGCCACGGATCCGTGGACAATGGGACAGTCAACGTGCCCGAAGAGTTTGTAATTGTCCGGCACTGTGGACGTGGAGGGACGCTCAATGTCCTGAAAGCGACGATCCTTGGAGCACTGCGACGGCGGAATGAAGAGAGCTCGTCCCAGAGGACACTTGAACAGCCGCACACCATTGTAAGAGCCATCTGTGAGGGTCAGCGGTCTCTCCGGCTGATCCTCCTCCAGCTCCACGCCCACCAAAAGACCCTTCGCGGCCGCTGCATTGCCCGGCGTATAACCAATCCACCGGATGACGCCGTACAGGTCCTCGCTCACGTCCGTCGACACCTCCACAACTGATCCCACGCCCAGATTCGTGTCCGGAATCTCCGACAGCGGCGACGGAGCGATGGGCTCATCATCCACACGTGGCGAGGCGACAATATTGTCATATTCAGGCTCTGCATTCTCTGAAAAGACACCGCACAAGTTACAACCTTCCGAATGACAAAGAGATCCAAATTAAATTATCACATGCGTGAAAACCTTCACAATTCCCACTGAAATCCACACAATTTAGCGCCTTAATGTTGAACAATTCCAGCACAGTGAGCGGAATATCATTCACTTTCATCACCTCTGAAGTTCCCATTGTTCTCGCCACTTTAATTGCCAGTCCTTCACAGCAATTTAACCACTAAAAAAATTATGGACGAACAGAAGAACGCGTGATGGCGTTCGAAAGAACGGAAAACGGAACGTGGAAGAGACTATACAGTCTCTAATTATAGAACTTTCATCTTAAGTCAAACATCTATTAATAGCAACCAAACTAGAAAGTAAACCTTTCCGAATGCGAGAGGGATTCACGCAATGTGGAAATCTTCGAAAATTACACTCACTCTTCCTGTTCGCCGAACTGCTGCTGCTGTCGAACGAACTCGACGCGGATTCCTCACTGAATCTCGCAATATTGTCCTTCTGGCGTCGCTCAGCACTTTTAGTGCTTATCAGGTGTGAAATTGGATTTCCCGACTTGTTCCTATCACAACTCTTCACGGGCGGCGGCGGTGCATTTCGCTTGTCACTGTTCAGCACCGGCGCCACATCACCGGCCGCCGCCGGCCAATTCGCACCCAGAATGTCCACGAGATCCATCTCGCTGTTGCTGCTGCGCGAGCCATGATCCACCACAATCACTTCGCTCTCATTCTTCACCGACTCCTTGATGTCCGCCTTGTCTATCACCACAATATCACGATCCTTAAGGCTGAGGAATGTATTGGGCTTCACGCCGGGCACCACGGCCTTCTTCTTCAGTTTCGCCTGCTTCTCCAGATTCCGCTCGTGGTTCTCCACATACTTTACGTACTCCTCGCTGTTCGTCAGCGTCTTTGCGCCATTCAACTTGGCGCGCTCGCTCTCGTCGTCCCGCCTCAAGTTGGGATTCGAATACGAAGAGGAAATACTCTGGACAAGAGAGAGGGAAAAAGAGTGCTGTCAATCGATTTTCCGCGCGCCACACCTTTCCACGCTAATTGATTTTATCCGCGAATTTACTAGCCAAGGGCTTATCTATGGAGAGGCAAAACAGAAATGGCTTAATTGAGCTCACCTTACGATGGCTGGGATCCATCGCTGACTCACTGGAGTGCGGTGACAAGTCTCGTGCCTTAAATCCCTCTACGTCGGCATTGAGAGACAGCCTGTTCAGCGAGTCGATCTTGTTGATTCTCCTGCTGGAGCTTCTCAGCGTGACATAGCGATCCTTCGTCTCCTGCACGCGATCGACAGCCAGACAGAGGAAGCCATTGATGAGTCCCTTCGTGGAGCGCTTGGACGACTTGTAATCCGCGGGCAATTCAATCAGATTGGCCGGAACCACTAGAGCCAGCGCGGGATCGCATGACATGTACTTTCCCAGATAGTAGAGTTCATTTGCCTGTGGCGACGCTCCAGACTTGAAGTTCTGCGTGTGAATAAAGAAAATTGAATTGAGAGATTGAAGGAGAAATATGAGGTTGAAATTATTCGATTGAGTGTGATAATTTTGTGGCTTTTCCCATTCGTGGGTTTCAGATAAAATTTCAATAAATGCATTCAATTGTTTAACAATCATTCTGTCCTTCAAATTGAGTGGAAAATTTTACAGAAACAGACAAGAGTTGGTTGGGAAAACGCAAAAGTCACCAGTTAAACACATGCACAGAGTTAATAAGCTTCCGGCTAAGTCTCAAAATAACCTTGGCCCAGAACGAGATTAAACAGGTGTTACATAAGAGCTAGCGAGTCTCTGAAACCCTTGTTAAGCCACTGTTTAGTGCGGGGATGCGGATAAAGTGAGGTGGTTTTTGAGAACAAGCAAAGACCAAAATTACCAAAATCTCTAAACCAAAATAATTTCCCGGTCCGATTTCAGGCACATTTCCAATGTATCTAACAATGGCATCAAAGCAGGACTCTAATCTAAAGGCGGCCCCGCTGACCACCACGATATCGCCAAGATTGAGGCTCAGGATGTGCTTCACGCGGCTCTCCGCCTGCGCCAGCGCCAGGCGCTCCGCGGGGTCCACGATGGCGGCGAGGAAGAGCCAGATGTCCGACGGGATCAGCGTGAGATTGGCCAGCGGACAGGAGAAGAGGTTGCTCTCCCACATCAGGTCCTTGGTGTGGAACTCGTGCACGCGCACGTTGGCGAACTTGGCGCTGGGGCGCTCCCGGATCTGCAGCATCGCGCCCGCGTGGAGGCCCGTGTACTCGTCCCCGGACAGCACGCCCGTCAGCAGACGAATCTGGCAGGGGCGCGAGCACACGGCGTAGCTGTGCTGATGACTCATCTTCGCATTGTCGTCTGCTCGACCAGCTGTCGCCAGAACGCCTTCCCGGACTGGAAGCGAGAGGAAGTTCGCCTCCTTCCAACGGTCACAGTGCAACAATCGATTGGCGAATTAATTATTCACGGCGTCCGCTCACGAAGAGTGATTTGTCTTTTATGCCAGCAGAAGAGAAGAGGATTTTCAAGCAAAATTCATGCACTAGGAATTTGCCAGATCGCCAGAATAACAAGAGAATAACCAGAAGAAAGAGGTAAAAACATCAATAGTCATGCACAAATGTCCGCAAAACCAGAATTTCTTCGCGATTTACAAACCAATTCCTATATCTACGTCTTCACGGGTCACGGGGGAATGTTTCGCGATCGTATCACGTCACTTCACGCACGCTTCTATGCAATTTTCGTGCTTTTCTCACGAACACAGCAATTTTTCACTGAACCATTTTGACACATTTGTCACTCTTTTGTAGTACACTGTAAAATTAGTACGAGTGGAATTCGGAATGTTTGGTGTAGAATATTCCTGCGAGGGTGTAGAAAAATAGTCATTCATCCCATTCATCAGTATAATTCTTTCCTACGCCCATGCTTTGATTTCTTCAAATTCGCCTCCTTGCTGGATTCGCATTCGCGGTGAGCAAAATGTGCTGATCTCAAATTCTAATTGACCTTGAGTATGTTTCAAATTTCTTTTATTAGCAATCTGGGAGGCTGAGAACATTGTTCTGGAACAAATATGGATGAATGATTGAAGACTTTGCGAGTGGCAGAATTATAAAAATTGATACTGCTGATGATGGACGACTAAATGATAAGCGCAGTGCCTCTTGTCCAGACTTCCAGGGAGCCAGAAAAGACGGAGAAGCTAGTAGAGACTCTCGGCATTCGAGGATCGTGGCTTTTTGAGCTTCTCCAGGTTCTTCGTCACGATATCATGGAGCGAGCAGTAGCGATTCCTCACTTCGCACATCACCAGCCAGAGACTCAAGTACTCCTTCTCGTCCAGCTCCTGGACGGCCCGTCTGTAATCCTCAACGTGTGGATATTTGGCCACTTTCGAGATGACTTTTGCGCGCGAAATGAAGTAGCGGGAGATTTGCTCGAAGAACGCCGCAGACTCGGACTCGACGGACTGAATCTCCGACAAGGTGTCCTCCTGGATTGACACGCCAAAGTTGTTGCCGTCCTCAATCTTGGGAATCAGGAAGGAAATCCACATCTTCAGCACATTGGCTGCAAAGAAAGGAAACAGTTGAGATGACGAAGAGTGCATTCCTTGCCAGGATAACTCACAGTCCTCGACGAGAGCTCGGATAACAGGCTTCACGACTTTGATAAGATCACAAATAGGCGCGTTGCAAGTCACAATTCCCGAGGGAAGCGCCATAACCTTCGTCCCGGAAACCGTGGTCTCCATTCGAGCCTTCTTCGGCGGCGGATCTCCAGCATCACCGTAGCTATTCACTGGCACGGCGTCGGGCACTGGAATGTTGAGCTCCTGGGCCGGCGAAATCGCAAAAGAATTAGCTAATCGAGCGGCAGTGCGCAGAAGTATCATGGAAAAGTACCTGGTAAACATCGGAAAAGTCACGTTCAGCGAAGGCAGGAGTTGCCAGAATCTGATTGAGCTTGACAATCTTCTCAGGGAATCCGGTGATGATCAAGTGCTCCGCCTTCTTGATCAGCGTGTCCTTATACTCCTGCACCTGCAATTGATACTGAAAATACTTAACACCTTAAAAAATACTCTCTCGGCATCATCCTCGAACATAACCTCACTCTTTGTTCCAGCATCGCATTACTTTCCCCAAGCCCATCATCCACCCGTGCAGGGCACATCAGAAGGGACTCAAGAGGAGGCATAACCGGGAATTTTGCCAGTGATACGCAATAAAAGGCCAATTTAGCGACTTTCTCAGATGTGACATGAGGCCAAAGAATGAGCTCAACAAAAACCCATTTCTGATGCACGTACCTTCTTGATGGTATCGTCAGACATCTTCTGGACTGCAGCTCGTGAGGAGTGACCTGGGAAACGGCACAAGGAAACCCTGTGATAATGGTAAAATCGGTAAAATACAGTATTATTGGGAATAAGAAACGAGTCTCGTGAAGTTTCTCTGCTGGATTGACATTACACATTCACACTGATGGCCGTTACAAATTGTTTCCTGGAAACACCTCAAATGCACTGTGGATTTCGATGGACATTTCCAATAGATTTCGCGTGATCCACCCGTGAAGAGTGGCAAAAAACAAAATTCAACGCAATCAGATCTTCGTCCTGTATATTCTATGCGCTACAGGACTATAATAATAGCTGTGTCAGCACAAGCAATACCTATTTTGCCAGGTCTTCGTTCTTGTGTGATATTTTTTCACACAAAGTTCACTGGAGCACAGCGGAGAGGTCCATGGGACGTGCTGGAAAGTTCCTTCGGCGGGTCATCGCGCTGTCAATGTCAAAATTCGCGTCTTCAGAAATTTTTTGTATCAAAACACGCAATATACATTGCGGCTAATTTTATCCACTTTTCTCCTCGCCCGCGTGCAAAAATGTCCTTTTGAACATCTTTTGGACCGCCGGGGTGTCGTATGGTGTTGTTTTCATTGGTGTTGACCATCGCGGAAGCGTGAAAATGTCCAGTCGCAGTAGCAAAAACATCAAGCAGGATGTACACAACCTGGATCACTTGTATTGCCACAAAGCCGAGAACAGTGCGTACATCAAGAGCAGCCCCAGCTCGGATCTCATATCCATCATCAAGGAGAACAAGCAGCTCAAGTCGATGCTGCTGCTGCACCTGGACTTGATTCAGGAGCAGAGCGACCAGTTGCTGACCAAGGAGAAGCAGATCTCGAGCCTGCGCCAGGAGAATGAGTCGCTGAAGCTGAAGATTGAGCGCATGGAGCGGCGAATGCACATCAAGCAGAGCCGCAGCATCCTGCACCACCTGCCCACTGTGGATGGGAAAGCGAAGAACAATGGAGCGCCCAAGCCGCACTTCCGGATTGACCTGTCCGCGCCCGCGGCAAAGTGTGATAATGGCCTGGATGAGGTGAAGCCCAATGCGGTGGGACTGGCAACTGAGAAGGCGCTGGAGGCCAATGGGATGCCCATTGGGAAGATCGTGCTGAACAACGCGGGGAACATTGAGAACATTACGTCGGTCGTCCAGCAAGTGCCGGAAATTAAGGTGGAGTCCAATGATGAGGGCCAGAAGGGCGTGCTGAAGGCGGAGGAGCCGCCACCGATGCAGCCCATGTCACCTGAGGGTACTGCAGATGCGGACAAAGGCAGCGATGAGGGCTCTGGCAAGCGGCGTCTCTCCGAAACGTCGGCTGTCAGCGCCGAGCAGGGCAAGAAGGCACTCAAACTCATGTCCATGACCACCAACAAGCAGTACGTGACGCGCGACTGGGAGCTGGTGGAGCTGGAGGAGGATGTGACTCAGCTGATTGAGAAGCGCGGCGACTTGGAGATTAATCTGGAAGTGCCGAGTTGGCGTATTGTCGAGGGCGACGCAGAGGAGCCCTCAGAGAGGCCACCAGAAGTGCTGGCCGAGGGTGAGATTCGCGAGGAGGCGTACATGAAGCGTCACCTCAAGTTCGAGATTGACGAGCGCCGCCGGAAGAAGTGGGATGTGCAGCGAATAAGGGAGCAGCGCACGATAGAGCGACTCAAAAAGCGCCACTATAAGCTGGAAGTGACGGCGGCGGGCGAGGAGAAGTCCTCCAACTGCCTACCCTCCTTCTATCCGAGTCCCAGCAGTATCCGCTTCATTCAGATCACCGAGGAGCTGCCCGTGCAAGCGTTCGGCGAGCACGTCCCCGACGTGACGCCCGCTGAGTTCGCCCTGCCCTGGGCGCACACTCCCGATGGGGCGCACGTGGTGCTGGGCGGACCCCAGGAGGCGGACAAGTGGCCCGTGTCCACGATGTTCGTGCGACGCGCATCCGGACAGAAAGTGCATCACAAGACCCCACGCAAAATGGCCAGCAAAGCGGCGGCTGGTGGCAAGAGATAAGATTCAGGACTCGTCAGCACGTAGAGGGCTTAGAGTTTAAGGCATGTTTTTGTGCATGATGACAGAAAATGATAATAAATATGAATATCAATTGTATTGGGCGCTTTAGTATTCATTTCGCGCTCTCATGGCGACGAAGGCGAAATTTCGCTTTCCCGCTGAGGTTACTGGCTTATTAACTCGAAATCTAGGGGCAACTGATCTGTCTTGCTTGTGGGTCATGGAAAATATGGGAAAAAGGTTCTTCTCTTTCGCGTCCCGTTGATGGGTTAAATCGATTTCGTTCAAATTGATCGCGCGCGTCACGGTTTTTAGTACACACGCGGCGAAGTGCGGCGAACGCAGAAGCAAAAAGAAACTGAACGAAGATGCCATCGTTCAGTGTTTTATTTCACGACGAAGCATGATTCTGTAAAACTCCAGTGGGCAGGGAAAACATAGTGAAATTGTACATTTTCTAGTGCTTGTGGCGACCCGCGAACAGACATTCGGACACGCGTGACGATGGCCGATAGTGTGGAGAGTGAAAATGATGTGGGCTTCCTCACGGGGCTCTTCTACGAGATGTTCTTCAATCCCGTCAACTTGTTCCTCGTCGGAGTCATATCGTTTCTGGCGTACAAAATCTTCCGGAACACCACCCAGTCGGCGGCCGTCCGGACGCAACCTGTGGAGCCAGCGCTGCCGCGCCTCCGGCGGGACTTCACTGTGCAGGAGCTGCGGCCGTTCGACGGCAACCAGCCGGATGGGCGCATCCTCGTGGCCGTGAACGGGAATGTGTACGACGTGACGAAGGGGAAGCGCTTCTACGGGCCAGGTAAACCGCTCGCCGGGCACCGGAGCATGACTCGAAGAGTGAAACTGGGCTGGCGCTGTGTCATTCCTCACCTGAAGACGCACTCGCGCGCGGCCCGGCGACTCTCCTTGAGCTGCACCGTCATTATCACATGAGATTCCATCGCAATATGGAGAAATTACAGCTCGTCCGGGGGTTTCTCAGTCGATGAGGTCATTAGCGAAGCTATCCCAAGAATGCTTGTCCAATGTGTTAATTTCGGGCGGAATCGATCCGCAAGGCGCAGAAGGTGAAGCATATGTTGCGCTGCGAAAGGTTGAATTTGCGTGGGGTTTTGCAGAAGAAATGCTCATTAGTTTTGGAGTTCTATTTCTGGACGATCTGCGTTGAACTTGCAAGGCTCCAATCTCTAGTGTTTCAGCTCTGAGAAGCCTTAGCAGTGGAATTGCTCATCCCCAAGTAAGACACGGATTGATGTCATATTTTTGACTCGCCTTTTGCATGCTTCCGGCTGTGATTCTCAAATGACTTCAAAGTACAACATCTTTATATGAGGATTTAATGCTTGTGGAACAGCTTTTATATAAGAATAATGGGGTAAAGTACAGAAAGTTTCACTTTTTAGTGAATAATAATGAAATAGCGCTTCTGGGAATGAAAATTCTCATTCTCTCACGATATTCATTTATTTATTGTTCTACTTTTCGGTCACCATTGTCTCTATTCTATCTTCTAATTAATTCCTCACTGAGCAAAGTTTATCGCATAAATTGATTACTCAAATTGAAATGTGCCTAAATATAGGCTAATTGAAAGTCTTATTTCGGTAATTGTTCCGTAACTGAAGTCATTATTGCGTAAAATTTGTAAAAACAATTAACTCACCATTCTGCGTGTGTTTAGTGCACACGGACTTTGGCAATGAAGCTGAAAAAAAAATTGCCAATGATCTACAGAACGATTTAGATGAATAAAAAATAGACGAGTAATAAAAACACACGCAGACACGCAGAAAAGCGAGAGTTTAGAACGCTGCTTTTTTGCATAAATAGAATTACGTGTTCTTCAAGTCGCACAACCTTGTGTGCCTCGCGATGGACAATTGAGAGGGAAAAGGTTGATGGCGAGACGCGCGCCTTTCTCTCAATATTCTCATCAATTTCAAATTGAGCCGTTCTGAATTTCCAATTGAGTTACAAAAATATCCGGATTTTCAAGTATTCGCGCTCCAGTGATTCTCTCTCTCTTTCTCTGGAGAATCTTTGTAATTTGCAAATTGACTCTCAAGTTCTCAGAGAGCGTCAATTATTCCTGGCCGCTGTGTGAATACTTTTTGCATTGATCAGCACAACAAATGTTGCCGTGAACGATCACACCTGAGATTGAGAGACTTCAAAGACGAGTTTTTTATGCGCTTCACAATCATTGTCAGTCGGTTTTTCACTGGAACTCTCGGCAATAAAGTGCACGAATTACTGCATTACGCAATGGCGAAGATTTTCCACGGGCACGGATTTTTGGCTGTGTGAATTCCGTCTGAATTCAAACACATTCAGCATGAGACAACAGAAATTGTGTGCGGAGAAACGCAATTTCTTCATTGATAACGGGGCAGTTTTGATATGAATTTTCAATGATATGCCGTAGAGAAAAGTCGAGAGACTAAAAATAGTCGAGATTACACAAAAGCAGAAATTGTTATCACACATATTTCATCATTTATCAAGAGTTTTTCACTAGTGGACTTCAAATATGAATTAATGGGTCAATACAGTCCAGTGTTGAAAAACATGGATTTGTTTCCTATTCTATCCATCCTATCTTACTTATTGAGCTTCGCAGCGCTTTTTCTCTCTCTCTCTCTCTCTCTTCTGCATGATAAAGTGGATCCAAATGGCTGTGTTTTCTGCTTCTAATTAAGCAACATGATTTTTATCACAATACACACACAATGAAAGCGATATCATACCTGCTGGATTTCTCTTTTGTCGTCGCTCATGTCGAGACGGAGAGAAAGAGGAAAATGTCTGTTGACATGTGAAAGTATTGATTGCGGGAAATTAATTAAATTAAGGGCGGTTTGCGTTGATCCATTACAAAGATTGATGGTAAATAATTGAATCTCTGGAGATATTCTATTTCCGGATCACTGAGGCCATTGTGCACGCGCGCGCCTTTCTCACACGGCAATCCTCACTAATTTCTCGCACTGCTTTTCCCTCTTCCAGGTGGACCTTATGCGGCTTTCGGCGGCCGGGATGCTTCCAGAGGTTTGGCTACATTCAGTGTCACCAGCAATGACAATAATGAATACGATGACCTCAGCGATTTGAATACAATGGAAATGGATTCTGTCCGCGAATGGGAAATGCAGTTTAAAGGTTTGTCATATTGATAGTTGTGCACTTCTGAGAAGTAGTTCAATGAGTGATTATCATATCATATTTCGTTGAAGAACTCTTCATGAAGAGCCGTTGTTTTAATCCTAATTTTGGCGTTCATGAGGCGCGATAAACAACATGAATATCAAGATTTACAGCTCAACCATGCAAGAAATCTCTGCTATTTCTTAGAAATCTCTGAGATTTTCTAAGAAATACAGAATATTTTATGAAAAATGCGCTCTTTAGTGAATTCTGATTGAAATTTTAACCAATGCCATTCGTCTTGAGACATTCTGATAGAAACTAGTGAGACAATATCATATGATCGCGTCTTGTGTTGCTTTTGGACTTACAATGTAACTTTTTTAAGTTGTGATTCTTCTATTAAAATTCTAATCACACCCTTGTTTTCGCAGAGCGATACATTTTCGTGGGGAAATTGCTGAAGCCTGGCGAACAGCCGACCAACTATTCGGACGAGGACGAGGAAGGTCCATCGGACAAGTCGGCAGAGAAGCCGAAGGACGAGTGACGGTCAGATGCTGAGCAGAGTGTAAATCCCGCTGGGGCCCCAGCCCGCGGGGGCTCCGCATGGGGATCAATTAATTGTCATCGTTTCTGTGAATTGTTCGGGTTTGATTGAAGATTCTCATGGGCATGGCAGAGTGAGAGGACATGAGATCAAACTTCTGGTATGATAAATATAAGGAGGGATCAGTTTTATTTTTGATTAATTTACTAAAAAGACTCTCAATCGTGCACTGGATGCATTCGAGCTTGCAAATTGATTATAACTTACAATGGAGAGAAGAAAATTGATTCCCGAGATATTCTTTCTGTGTCCTTCGTGAGGCAACAAAAAAAAATCGTGGTGTACCAGACTTTTTTCCTTCTACACTTTGTTTTAAGACATGAATATTTTGAAAATGAAAAAATGGTGTGAGAGGAACTGAATTTAATAAAAACAAAATATACTGTGTAATTAAGGCTCTAGAATCATGGGTTGCGGACTGTATCTTGGCCAATTGTCTAGTAATGTTTTCCATGCTTTCTCCCATTTTTCCTTTTTTTCTTTTGTAATTTATAGTGGCAGCAGATTTGTGCACAATGTTTTGTACGTGAATTTGTATTTTCAATTAAACTTTTTTGGTTGAGTATTTTTTTGGTTTTTGCTATCTAATCAATTTCTAATTTAATTCAATAATTTTCCTTTGTTCCTGGCTTTTCTCGTCATCGCTCGGTTCTTCGTTCAGTTTGTTTGCTGGCGCGCTTCTCGCGGCGAAGTCGGTAATGCAGGTCGTCAAATGCGAGACGTCAATGTGACGGGCTATTATATAAACACTGCGTGTTTTCTGCCCAAAAATAGTGCGAATTTCAGTGAAAAGCGCAATATCCTGGCACTGTTCTTGCAGTAAAGGGTGAGCATGATGTCTAGCCAACCTGATAATCCAACCATAATCATATTATCTGTTGTATTTAGGCTTCAAAATGATGCGTCGCTTCCTCACTTCCGGACAGCTACGCGCTGTCCTGCCTCCGGGCAGTTTTGCCGCTCCTGCAGTCAGGACGATGGCCACTCTCCCGGTGGCGGATGAGTCCAAACCTCCGCCACCCAAGAAGTACTCTCCCTTCGGCACAAAGCAGTCCAGTGTGGGTGAATGGGCGGTTGCGCGACTTGACGATCTCCTAAATTGGGGCCGCAAGGGTTCAATCTGGCCCCTGACCTTCGGCCTGGCGTGCTGCGCTGTCGAGATGATGCACATCGCTGCTCCGCGATACGACATGGATCGCTACGGTGTGGTCTTCCGTGCCTCTCCGCGCCAGGCGGACGTGATTATCGTGGCCGGAACGCTGACCAACAAGATGGCACCGGCGCTCCGGAAGGTGTACGACCAGATGCCTGAGCCCCGATGGGTAATCTCGATGGGGAGCTGTGCCAACGGCGGCGGATACTACCACTATTCCTACTCTGTGGTGCGAGGCTGCGACAGAATCATCCCTGTGGACATCTACGTTCCCGGCTGCCCGCCCACGGCCGAGGCTCTTCTGTACGGCATTCTGCAGCTGCAGAAGAAGGTGAAGCGCATGAAGACCCTCCAGATGTGGTACAGGAAGTAATGCGGAGGCGCGCAAAAGGTAGGACGAAATTTTGACTTTGTTTAAACTGGAATTCAGTGTAATAAATCCGTTATTTAACTCGAGAGGATGATTAATGGGTGAGTGTCTCGACGAGAAAAGATTTTCCAGGAATGTAATAACTTGTTGAAGCAGAAATTGATGGATTGTCTTTGGTTTTCTGGGTAGAAAGCGATGATTGAAAATACGATTTACTCTGAAAATCTCTCACCAACGGTGATAGTTTGTATAAAACAGCGCTTCTAGCTTTACGCTAATAGTTAGTTAAGAAAATTAAACAGATTTTCTTTCATTTGCTTCCCCTGGGAATCTGCATAGGGGCATAAGAAGTGCAAGCAGGTGAAGCTGCCGTCCTTTCATGGTAGATTGCAGACAATTTTGCGATTTGCTGAAGCGCAAAGTCGTGAGTTGGTGGAATCCGCTTATCCACTGTGCAGCAAACTATTCAAATAATCCGATTATGTGTGTGCCACTGAAGAATCAAGGGAAATTGTCGCATTTCACCTTCATCCTTCCCAATTTATCTCTGTTCTATCCTGACATTCATCGTTGACTTCACGTATTGTCTTCAACGACGATGGGTTTATTCGCTTGCTCAGTTTATACACTGATAAATGGCATATCAATCTTCTCTCCTCCACTCGACAAGAAGAGGTGCACAAGCATGAGCTTATCTCTGCATCTCCATGAGGATAAACTGTCTTGAGGGAGTCTGTCTAAAAAGTAAGTGGAGAGTGTTTATGTTTACTGATGATGGAAGTTTAGTGAAATACTTTAGCCTTGACTTTAGCTTTCACGCAAAGTTTTTAAGTACAGTCAATGATGAGATTGCAGTAAGACAGTTTCTATATATAAAACAAAAACTACAACTATAACTACTCTGTATTGTTCTGAAAAACTGCAAGTATTCTTGGTGGGATTTTCTCAAGATGTGATCAAGAGAAAAGCGGTGCCGATAATTTATGAATTGCCATACAACACTTCGTCCATGAAGAGGAGAAGCCTCGAATCGATCCTGAGAGCGGAGAGATATATAAAATTAACACCCACTCTATTCGTGATCTCTGAGAAGGGATGGCATGATTGAGAGAGTGGTGGAATCATTTCCAAGACACATAATTACGATATGAGATGCTATTCCATTTATTTATGGGGTTCTTGAGCCGTCTGTTTGGTGGAGTAATATTGGGCCCATCTCACCCTCTCGACGAGCGAAACATGAAAAGATTAATTCACCATAAAATGAACATTGAGCCATCATGTTGATGAGGGAAACATGCTCCGTGCCGTGAGGGGGTGTGTATGAAAGAAATATATAGTGGAATTTAGAGGGAATAATCTGTCTGATGGCTTTGGTAAAAACACAGAGAGAAGCGCGCGGCTGGGGTGTAATTTGAAATGATTGTCGGTAGATGTTGAAACGTATGAAGAAGGCATCTCGCTTGGCGCGGTAATGCTTTTTTCCACTCATTTCATCCTCAAACGTGGAACCGCACACTTCCCACAATTCGCCCCACAATTTCTTGTCATGCTCTTCACTTTATCAGAAATGCTATTCTCACTGTTTGTGGGTGACTCTGAAGGCAGTTTCGTGGGTAAATAGGCACTGAAAGTTTGGGCTTATTCTTCACACATTGCGCCACAATTGGTGAAGTTGAAACACCACGTCTGGATAGATGGGAAATTGCTATAGTTGTGTCACAGAAATAGTAATACAATACAAACTATGGCAATTTCGCCATGGGGCGAAGCCGAGTTTTGGCTTTTGGGAGCCAACTCTGCGCACACCTATCGAGACTGTACTCTCTCGCCCTCGTCCCTTGCACGTTTTACACATATAGAAAACCCTTTGAAGCATGTGTGCCAATGGCATCTGAAGTGTTTGGCTCGGAGATGGACAAAAGTTTAATTGTCTCCCTTTCTCTTTGGCATCACATTCTAAGTTCCAGAGGAAGTTAGAATGTCTCAATTGAGAGAGCTTGTTATTCAAGGAACGGACAAAGGACGCACACAAAGAGGGTGGAGAGTGAAAGAAATGAAGTGAGAGCACTTGAGATTTCCCAGTGACTTCACACCAAACACCGCTACATCATTCATCGTAAGCCATTTATTTTGTGAGCCTCCCTCGGATCGTAATTAACAACAACACAGCAGAGCCTCAGCACGCAAATGCTTGTCACTAAAGAGTTCCAACCCAGTGAATTTCTATGGGGAAAGGACCAGGCGGGATCTGTGCTCAAAATTCATGCATCATCCACCCAGTTGAAGTGACAATATTGAAATTCGCCTGTTGTTTTTCCGGATTAAACATATAAATATCCAGTTAACAACCCGTATTTCATATTCATACACAAACACAATAGGCGCATATAGAAATGTGGCAATATTTTTGCTTCACCCTTATCCACAATTGGCAAATGGTTCTCAAAATGTTGAGCTTCCGTAAATACTCTTCATGACACGTGAAAGAACTTTTCCGCCCCTGTGAAAGCTACAGGAAAACTATAGAAGTTCAGTAATGAATAAAGTATGCGTTTCAAAAGCTCTTTTGTGTCTCTCAATTGCGATTTCGTCTATGTGGTGTTGTGTGTTAATTATAGATAAATCTCTTATAGTGAAAATCAAATATTTGAAACTACAATGGAAATTATATATGGTGAATATGAAGAGATTTGTGGATGAAATTTAACTCTGAATCTATGAGTATTAAGACAGATGAACAATTACAGGCCATTTAGCAGAAAGAATAACATAAGCAGAGAGGATATTGCTATATAATTGAATAAATAAACAGGCAAGGAGACTCTGTAATTTTCCACTCGACATTTTCCCAATGATCTGACGTCTAGCTAGAGGGAAATCCAATTGCTCTTCACTTAAGCCAATAGTTTTATCCCTGGGTTTTCGCCGAATGCGATTCCCTGAGGCAATGAGCGGAAGTTTTTCCATTGTGAAGCCTCAGATAAATTCAACGATGTTCATTCAAATAAATGAGATAAATTGCCACGTTGAGCTTTTTCATTATCACCAAAGAATGGCGATGCTTTCAAGGGTGAATTCCTCTGTGTGAAAAATGTCTTTTCACCATTTTCACCGAGTTATTGATTCCCACATTCACGAGGCGCACACAAAGAGGGTGAGAGAAAGTTTTTCACCTTCCAACAATATGTGAGTGAGTGCGTGAAATTAATTCAATATCACGATATGAGAAGGGGAGAATGCCATAATCATTCGTCTTCTTGTACAGCGAATTCGCGAAAATTCAGAAAACTTTCCCATTTTCCCATTCTACGTGAAAGTGGCGGGAATTATATTTGATACATAATTTCCTCTTCTACATTTTCAATGGCATTTTACTCAAGTGTGTCATTGAGAATTGTCACCCCTTTTCACGGGAGTGTTTTGCATGGCAAAGTCAGCAAACCATCGCGCGGTTTCTATGCGGTCGCCAAATTTACTCTCAAATCACGTTTTCAAGACCATTCAACAGATCCAATTGTTTGCTTAACGCTTAGAAGTTAAGTTCAACCCTCGAAAGTCTTGTCAATTTCACCACACACACATTCAATTCATTAGAAATTCGTCAATATTGTACTTCTCACTCCTCAACGCATAATCGATCTCAAACCCGTGGAAGTGACTCTGTCGAATGGAAAAAGGTATACAAGAAACTGGGGCTTAAGCTGAGCCTCGAGATTACACAAACAGTAAATAATTGAGTATCTGGACATTATGCGGTTTCTTGAGAGTCGAGAAGGGAGCGTGCAAAAATTCTTTGCTCAGCTTAAATGGTTTCGTAAATTTAATAAACAGAGATGTGCACGTTGGATTTCTCAAATTCATCTTGCAAGTTAATGCATACATAATGCGGGCTTTGTCTTCCTCACAATACTCTACAAGATTGTCAAAGTCCCCGGGGCGCTTTGGAGCGCTTTCAAAGCCCCAGCAGGCTCTCTCCTTTGAGGCGGTTGTCCGGTAAATTTGCACAAGGTTCCATCTGGCAGGCATTCTCGGATATATTTCACACTCTTTTATCCTTCCGTAGCCTTTTTTCTGGCGCCCACACTTCATTTTGACGTGAAAAATCGCAGCAGATTCAGGTTAATTCACACCACCAAACGCTGGCCAAGTTGCACTTAATTCAACGTCGCTCTAATTAATGATTTTATAATTTGGAAGAGACAGAACAACACTTTCCACGTGTTTTCCACTTTATTAAATTTCCCGCGATAATTATCCTTGGAGTGTCCCTGACAAACTCTCGGAACGTGACCCAAAAGCCGGCGAGGGCTTCTCATGGGGATTCATACTGACAAAATCTACCCAATAAATAAATCACATTTTAAATTTACGACATTGGCTACAAATTGGATGGCTGGGAAGAGAAGATGTCGCCTTAATACCTTTATCTCCCTTTATTAACTTTGAAGACTGCTGAAGGAATTTCCGTCGGAGCGCGCACATTTCTTATCTCCGTCTTGTGTGTGGGAAAAGTGGGAAAAAGTGCAAAGAGATTATTTTTTTATTGTCACCGTGGCAATTTCACTCTTTTTTTATACGTCTCATGAGCTGATAAGGTGTTGGAAAATGTATTTGAGATTGCAAATGCTGAAGGATGTGCCCAGTTTTGTCTTAGTCTGTATACACATGCAGAATTTGCTGAAAGTTATGCTAGCATAGCTAACATTCTCTGCATTATTAATCCGGGTGCACTTCAAAGAGCACAGATTTTCGAATATAATGGCGAGAGCACGACAAGTGCTGAAACGAGTTGTTAAAAATGCATCAAAACGTCCTGATCTGAAATCACCTCCACACAAGGCATCATTGCTTATTCACACGAATTTCTACTCCTAGTTTACATATACTGTGTATGATTAAACTCCGAAGCACTGCCTGAAAGTCGAACTCGGATACTTTAGCATTTGGCATGGAATGTGAAGTTTTTTTTCTGGGCGAAAAATACCAAATTGAGAAGTGAAAAATTCATGCCTTGCAACGTAATACATAACAAAATGTCAAGGATACCACAGTAGCCTGAAAATGTTTGGATCTACACACTCAT